GCCTCCATGTTGACCTTCTGGGGTAAAATAGTTGAACTGTAGTTTATTGTCATTGTGTAAAAGACTGATAGGAAAATGACACTGCAGTATCCAGTGCTGAGCTCTGTTGTGTGGAGCTGCAGTGTGGCCTTCAGGGACTGTGGTGGTACAGTGTCAGCAGCAGCAGCAGCAGCAGCAGCAGCAGCAGCCCCTCCTGCTGCCCCTGCAGGGGAATCTCCTCATTGGCATGCAGGCGGTGACTTGGATCTGTGGAGCACCAGCGACGTCTCTCTAGGGACTCTTGTCTTCACACTTCCCTCTCTTCTTCGTCCTCCTTGTGGCCCTGCTCCTCCTCTCTCCCTCTCTTTCCCCACAGCTGTCCCTCTGTCTGTGGGCTGCAGGGATGGTTGGAGAGGAGGAGCAGAGGAGCCGGGCTGACACTTCAGGAAGACGCCTGAGAAACGGGGTTTCAAAACGGAAGACTTGGATTTGTCTCCTGAGAGTCGGAGAATGAACTGTATCTCTGTGGCATCTGGTTAGTTTGGTGGTCGCTGCGGAGATGTTTTAACAAAGGGAGGGAGGGAGGGGTGCAAATGTTGTCCACAGAGGGGCAGATTCATCACTGTAATAACACTCGGGGGGTAATTCTGACAGACAGGACGGGGAAAGAGATCAGGTTTCCTGTCTTTTACATCACTTTCTTTGACGGCCTTAGTTTCCCAAAGGGAATTCTTTCTCTTCGTCCAAAATGGCCACAAAAAAAAATTTAGCTACAATTGCATAAAATAATTACAGTCTGGTCCACGATTTGCACAATAAAAAAAGCTAAGAGTTAGCCACAAAATAGCTTGGTTAAAAAAAGTCAAAGGATGAAAAAACAACTTTTGTCACAGTGGTGTAATACCTGCCATACTCTGATGGAGGCGCATAAAACACTTTTTAGGAAATGAGTGGAGGGCCACAGGCCACGGTGTGGCCCCGGGCCGTACGTTGGACACACTGGTTCCTTCAGACATATGTCTCACTGTTACTGTTTAGAAACAATCTCTAACCAAGTGTGAAACTCAGAGCAGATCTTGGCAAATGGAGGAAGGAAGGATGTAAACAAACAAACAAACAAACAAACAAACAAACAAACACAGAGAACTGGTTGGCAACTGCTAGTGTTCGGCAGAAACATTGGACAGAAGAATGGCAGAGGATTGTGGGAGGAAAAAGACCAGGATGCTGCAGCTTGGTGGATTTTTTTTTTTTTTTTGTGTGTGTGTGAAAGCGGTGAAAGGAGCTGTGATAGCAGCCAAACTCAAGCTGTGGGCAAATCAAGTGTGAAATCAGGAACAAAGGGATTCACAGGATTGGGAGGCATTAGATTCACACTGTCTGAGCCCTACTGGGGTAGGTGGCGTGTGTGTGTGTGTGTGTGTCCTGGTATAGCTATACTTATGGGGACTTGTTTTAAAAGAATGGTATGGTTTTGTGGAGACTTTGTTTGTGGGGACATTTTCAGTGATTCATTTTTGTTGTTGTTATTAATGTCAGGTTAGAGCTGAGTCAAGGATGAAGATTAGTCTTGGACCTGGAGTAGTTGAGGTGAAGACGACGGGCTGGGGAATACGTTATGTTGATGTTAGGACCTCACAAAACACAAGAACCAGAGTGCGTGTGTGTGTGTGTGTGTGTGAGACGGGGGATCAGGATATCGTACTCGCAGTCTTCCTAATAGCCTCGTTTCTGAGAGATTAGTCCATTTTAAATCAAAGCGAATTCCTGTTAAGGTTTTATTGAAGTGATGACACGTTTGGTGTAATGTTTGATTTAACATGCAAATATCCATTACACAAACAATCCTCATTCTCACAGCCGAGGTCTTCAACAGGGGGCCCGCGTCCACCCGGTGGTCCCTGGAGGTGCTGCATGAGGGTCGTGAAAGTTAAGACTGATTCGATTTTCTTTTCAAATATATTGAACGCACATTTGAAATGAATGTGAGAACAGAGTTGTTTTAAAATCATTTAGAACAAAATAACAAGGCACAGGCCTGAACACTATAATAAAATATTGATCAGCCATTACTGTAGTTTATTCCTAAAATTACAGTCAAATGTATTCACTTTTAACCATGTCAATTATAAAGTTATGTTATTTCAACTCCACGAGTTTTTTTCTAAAAATATCACATTCTCATTATTTGAAAAGAAAAATCTAAATCATAATTATTGTAACTATCATTCATTTAATTTTATTCATTTATTTTTAATATTTATAACTTTTATTTAAATACAGAGGTTTCTGTTTTTAGCCGCTGTGCCATGGACAAAAACTTTATTTTCTTCTTTTTCTCCTGAGAATGACCTCAGTTTCCAAGCTCAGCCAATCAGATCGACCACATGACCCCAATATCCTGCTCCACCCAATCAGAACATCTAAAGGTGCAGGTGGTGCAGTGAGGTGTCCCTCAGTGACCCAGGTTAATGATTTCCTCCAGGGTTTTAAATGTTTCTCTGTGAAAGATTCGGAGGTCAGGGTCTGGACTCTGACTCTTCTCCTTAAAGATTCAAGTTAAAAAAAACATAGAGCCAGCATTTGTGTGTTTAAAAAAAAAGGAAAATAAAAAATAACAATAAAAATATATATTAAATTAACATAACATTAATTTAAACTTCTTCATATAAATTCAGGATTTCTTTATGAGAAATTTAGAAATCTAAGTCATCAGGATTCTAAATGGATTTATAATTATAATAGATAATAATTAATTAAAATAATTTAATATAAAATAAATAATTTAAATAATTTAGTTTTTATATTTCTACCCTTTCTTTGCCGCAGATTTAAATATACAAACTTTTTGTATTTTTTTTTTGAAGTGAAAGTCAAAACACTAAAACAAAGTTTTTATCAATTTTGGTCCTGGTTTTGTCAGGTTTTTCATGGCTGCACAGCTCAGAAATTTTCTGTTCTCCAGTTTCTGTCTTTATTTGGAGGAAACTAAATCCTGGAGGTCCTTCGCGGGGTGGGGGGTGTTGGGGGTGGGTAAGATGGAGTGGGATTTTTACAATGCACAATTATACAATGTCAGCTCGCACTCAAAGAGGCCATAAAGTATGCAGGAACAGAAAACATGTTGAAACATTTTCCCCTGGTCTCCTCTGAAGCCGTTTTATAAGGATGACTCTTCACTGAGTGCCAGCTTGAATTATGGAGCCGCTGCAGCAGAGAACACTTTCACTCATGTATGAATATGCAGTTCTGCCTCAAACCTGGGCCTGAAATCAATCAAGCAGACATCGGGGAGGGTCGTTCCGAGCCTCAACACCTGCGTTCTCCTTTTCTGTGGTCGTTGGTGAGGCTACGGTCCACCCCTCCGTCACTGATGTGGTACAATCCTTCCTTCCCTCATCGTCTACCTCTTTATATACACTACACTGGGGTTGGATCTTTAACTTCAGTGCCCTGGGCTGAGAGGCTGATTTAAATCATAATCTCTTTCACCCAGTAATACCTTGAACTAAGCAGCTTTTGTAAATACTTTGTAAATCATTTTGAAGCTAGCTTTATACCTTCCCATATCGAGAAATGTTAATGAAAAGAGAAAGTACGAACAGAGGGCAGACTCCAGTGGGTGAAAGACTTTGAAATTTCAGTCAAAATCTCTCTTCGATCAAATAACCAAGCTGTAATTTCACTCCGTGGCAGGTTCCAATAAAGACTTTCTGGGAGTAAAACAATGATGAAAACATCTGTTCATACAAATACATCACTGTTTTATTCCCAGCTGGATTTATTCTCTTGTGTAACTTCTTGGCGCCGAAAAAATAAATCAAGCGAACTGGCAGCTGTAGTTGGCGATGCGTTTTCTTCTAAATCAACTGCACTAAACGAAGTTTTGACTTTTTGACTCTTCGAGCGAAGTATTTTGGGCTTAATTGTGCGTACAGCTGTGAATCCTGGTCTGACGTTTGACAGCAGGGGCCGCTATAACGCTCTCTTCAGGATCTATGTCATTCTTCCTTCTCTGCTATTTTTTTTTTATGATAATTTCTTTTCAGCTCCTTAATGGACTGTTTCTTTTTATATAGGAGTGAGGTGGGACAAAAAGCATCTTGTGAGGATGGGTGAGGCGGGTGAGAGCGAGGTTGTTTATGCAAGTGTGCAAACTCTGGGCAAAACGCCCAGAGTTTGGCTGCATATTCAGCAGACTCTGCATGTGAAAGCCTCCGGGCTAAAGCCCCAGTGTTTAAAGAGGAAAAAATAGGCCTGTTATTATTGAAGTATCTCAGCAATAAAGACACACACACACACACACACCCTTCTTAAACTCCAATGATGTCAAAAGCACAACGGTGCTGTAGCGCTACCTCCTGGACTGACAGCATCAGTGATATCTGGCACAGCATCAAATGCTCCTGTCGTGTAGTGACTGATGGCAATAATCTGCTTCCAGGTTCCAGACTCTGTCCAGGTCCAGGTCCAGGTCCAGGGATCTGTGAGCTCAGATGGGGTCTGTACATGTGAATTACCGGCACACATTAAAAAACATGGCAGAAGAATTGCCTCTGAGCCGAGGTCAGGGCAGCAGAACGTGCGAGTTCAACTGCTGCGGCAGACGGAACGTGTTGCTGCAAGTCCATTTAGAATATGTCAGCTGAGCAGGCACAGTGGTCGGCTGTTGTAGTCATTTCTTACACGAGAGGTTTGTGATTAGGTCCTTCTTGAATGCTCTCATTGTACGATGGGCCTGAAAAGCATGAGCTATTTTAATAGTTGTCTGGCTGGAGCGGAGTGTAGATTTTTCAAACCGTTCGCTTGGTTTGCTTAAGAAAAATGAAGGCTGAGGTTTTTCTGCTAATTTAAATGTCATATATATAATATTTTCTGCTAATTTAAATGTCATATATAATATTTTAATAATAAAATCTTAGGTTTTAATGTCAGTGAGACCTTTGATCCATGAATCCTGTCATGTGTTTGTCCATACTCTCACTGATCTCTATTAGCTCAGTTTCTATTTGTCAGTGTTTTTGATTGTGCCATTTTTGGTGCTCGGATCATAACAATAATGTAGTGTTACATTCATTTATTATAATAATTCTCTCTAAGGTTAATTAGTCTTTAATTTTCATTAATTCATTCACTTGTGACAGTTTCAGTCGTCGGTTCTTTCCTTTGATGTGTTGTGAAGTGTTTGTTGTCGTCTGTGCTGGAACCGTTCTTCATCACATCTTTGTGTGGTTTGTCATCAGTGCTTTCACAGTGTGTACGTTTCTATGCAACAGTTGAAGGAAAAAAACTCCAAATGACCCAAATTGTTTGCAACAGTATTCAGATTTAAGTCTTTTTTTTTTAAACCAATTAATAAATAATCTTGCCGCTCCTGGTCCAAAAACTCATTGTGTCATATTTACATCATAAATTAAATATGAAACTAAAGACATTCAACAGAATTTTAGACACATTTGTATCAAATACTTTAAACCTCCCGGCCGTCAAGACTGGTCAAAAACAGAGACATTTTTTTCTTTTTTTTTTCTTCATCAGATCAAACTCTACAGATGCTAAAATGTTGGAGAACGCCTGAGGAAAACAGGAGAAACAAATCTCTGATATGTAAACGAGTTCATTCAATCCCCACAGTTCAAGTGTTTAAATTAAAGGCAGGTGACGAAAACAGACAAATGATTGTTATAATATCAATTTTGGACATCATACATATTCAAATGTTAAAAGTTTTCAATTTCATTAATTTACACTTTTACATATTAGAGGTATTTTTTCCCTGTTTTCCCACTTGATTTCTCTCTACTCTAATGTTTCTGTCGTAAACACGTGCAGCCTCATTTGTTGGCACCAGTCAAGTTTCCATTTGAACAAAGAAATGACGCACACAGATAAAAGCCCACTGACAAATAAATACCTAGAAACACTGACATCGTCCACTTTCCTGTTCTCTCACTTCAGGAGTCGAACATTATGCATTTTTCTCTCTGCAGCAGAGTTTTTTTGTTTTTGTTTTTTTTTTTTTTTAGGTCAAGGGTCAACGGAACAACACTTTTTCTTTACTGCCTCTGGAAATTGTGTCCAGGACAGATTAACTCACTTGGGCAATGACGCGTGGGACAATTGGAACAGAAACCCTCGTCTGATGATTAACCAGGAAGGGAACTGGGCCCAGTGTTGTTAAAATAGCACAGTATTCTGATGAGAACCGCTGTTCCATGGTCCTGAACCAAGCATTTGTTCTTGAACTCTAGTCTTTTAGAGTCTTGGAAAATTGTCCTCTGATGACAGAGGGGGGACGACGTTGGGGAACGCAGGCCTCAGGAAAACTTGAGCTCAGTTTTGTGTTTTCCTAGCGAGGACCTGACCAGTGTCAGGTGAGAGCACGACATCACTTCCTGTAACATCCTCACTCTGTCTTGACCAGGTGTCGTCAGCTCCCGTTGGTGATGATGACAGAGGTGGCTTTGTGTCCCTGCATCTGCTCCGCCTGCATCCTGACGTGAGACGCCACGTCATACTGGACGCCTCCGCAGGCGAGTCCAGAGTAACTCCGCAAGTTCCCCGGGTCGTACAGGTGCTCCAGGGAGTAGCCCGTCAAAGCGTAGGCCGTCTGTCTCTCCAGCTGCAGCCTGTCCTGGGTGGGGTACACGAGCGGACTCCCCTGTGGCTGCGCCGGGTGAGGCGACAGTTCAGTCTGCATGTAGTCTTTGGTGAGCGACCTGGAGATTCCGTCGGAGCTGGGGCTGCTGAGTCGAGACAGAGAAGCCGGGCTGGTGGTGTTCTCGTCAGTGTCGTGTGGGCCTGGAACTTTAATGATGTCTTTGTGATGCAGGCGCTCAGTGGGGAGGTCGATGCTGGGGGCCCCCGGTCCTCGACACACAACGCTGGGCATGTTGAGCTGGGGGTGGTGGGGCAGCGAGGAAGTGCCGAAGCACGGGCTGTGAGCTTTGGCGAGTCCTGAAACGTCCGCGGGTGTCTTGTGTTGTTGCAGACGGCTCTCCTCCTCTTTGATCATCTGCTGGGTGGCACGGATCAATGTCTCCATCTTGCTGGGCTCTCGGGGGCTGGTACGGAAATTGTCGTTGTGGTAACGATCCCCGGAATCGCTGGTGGAGCCACCTCCGTCAGGAGAACTCACCACACTGTCTTCTTCCCACTGGCCCCTCCCTGTAAGAAGAATCGAACCGTGTCAGGAGAGTGAAATCTTAAAATCTTTAACAACAAACCACAGGAGGAGTTCAGCTGCTGGAGTTAACACAGAGATGACATAGAACTTCAAAGGCACCAGAAGCATCTGATGATAAAGGTGTCTCACAGAAAACGAAGTTAAACTTAGAACATAATAAATACAGCCATCATTTCGACTTTCATCTGAAATAAAAAGAACAAGAAACAAACTGGTCAGGGTAATCGCTGCGTGAACAACATTAAAGCAGCTGCAGGAATTTATGGCAGGGACTGTGGTTGCTCCTCACATGTGGGAACAATCTCCCATGTTCTTCATATGTTTGGACTATGGACACAGTTTGGAACAAACATTCAAGCCCAGCTACAAAAAAAAAAAAAAAAAAAAAAAAAAAAAAAGGGCACATTTTGATCTGATGAAGCCACGGTCAAACAGTTTGGCCAAAACTACAAAAGGTTGAAAAACAAATCTGCACATTGACAAATAAAATAAAAAAATAAATTTAGAAAATCACCACTGCTTCATGCTGCTGCCACCAGGGTGTGTCATGGTGGAGGTAGGAACATCCTCTGGGGCTGTTTCTATCGCTAGTTTGGAGGCTTCAAGAGACCAGAAACATTTTCCTGAGTTCAGGTTCTTGGCTTCAGCAGAAGAACTGGAGGATTTGAAATGCCCCGGTCAAAGAGCGGTGTTGGGGCAGCCAGGAAAGGGCAGTGCAGACGGAGGGAACCTCAGTACTTCAATGACAAATAGTTGTTGGGTGTGTTCATGATTTTGTGTCACTGTTTTGCGTCCCAAAAAAAAGAAGAAATAAGTGTGTGTAGATTTCATAACCAGTGTGTGACCTCTCTCATTTTTGGGAGAATAAACCTAAAACATGTTATAACTATCCATGTTTCTGTTTTAAAAATACACACGGTGGAGTCCTGGTTGATTAGACTGAATATTGCGGCGGCAGCGGCGGCAGAGTCGGGGTGGGTTCCCCCTTTTTGAGGATGTGAAAAGTGAAATAACTTGGCTTTCAATTGCAGGCAATTTTTGAACAGATGGTAGCAATCGGCACCCTGGCAAGAGACGCCGTAAACAACTTAGTGTGTCCCATAATAACATTTGAAATGCAGCTACCAGGAGATGCAGCTTTCAAAGACAGATGGTTGTGGTTTCAACCCCAACACCTCACCGTGAATGGCTGCGTGGTAGGATGTGAGTTCGTAGCCCTCGCTGTTGTCCGGTGGCGGTTTGGGCAGGGAGAGGACGGAGCGCGTGGCGTCCCACCACACCTCTCGTCCAGACTGAGGGGTTCCGAGGAAATAGCGGCCACTCTGGCATCGGACGCGGTCGCAGGTGGTGGTGTGGGGGTGTGTCTGAGCGTGGGCCAGGTCCTCGTCGGACAGACCAAAGTTGTAGCAGAGAGGGCCTGCGTCTGGATACAGTCTGTAGGCACAGGATGCCTCCGTGGCTTCGGCAGAATCCATCAGCTGAGGAGAAGCCGAGTCTGTCACGGGGCTGCCCCCCCACTGGCTGTCCTGGTCGGACTCGGGGTTGAACGCAGAGAACTGCTGGACAGAAACAAAACCACCAGAGTTTTGACGGTCAGGGTTGTATTAGGTTTCACTGATTTAGCTCAGCAGAGGATTCTGTTCATTACCTGTGGGTAGGGCGACACCCGGGTTTTTGACTTGGTCTGGGTCAGACGTGCCTTGGTGCTCTTTTTGTCCTCCGTGTGACTGTTGGCGTACGGGAAGGCGGGCTTGGTGGGGCTCATTTGGTCCAAAGACAGCTGCATTCCCTTGTACTCTGTGTCCCTTTAGAGACAAACACAACAGAATATGAAATGCGATGGAAACAAACATTTTTTTAAACCTGTATTTATCCCATTTGTGACTTTTTCAGTCAGGCCCGCGGCTAGAAAACCACCCATCTAAGAATGCTACATTTGTCGGTCCACAGTGAAGTCCGCAGAAAACAAAACGTCAACAAGTATCGGTTGAATTTTTGTGTAATTTTCTCCTTGGACCTCGATGAAGTGAACTGACTTTAATCAACCCTGACAGCGTGATTAGTCGCAGTCTGCAGTTCGTGAACACCAGCCCCCGAAGAACTTTGTTTAGCAACTGTTAGCATGCTAACCTGTAAAAAAACTGAGAAAATAACATCCACTAAATTTGGAAAAGCAGTAATGTTCTACATCCACTAAATTTGGAAAAGCAGTAATTTTCTAGTAAGTAAATAAAGTAAATAAAACCTAGGTCAAAGTAAAATGTGTGACCTATCCACTGTTGAAAGTCTTCGTGGTCAAGTTTGTTTAAAAATGTGTGACCTATCCACTGTTGAACGTCTTCGTGGTCAAGTTTGTTTATCGATTTGGGACGAAAGGTTTAGTTTAGAACAAACTAACCTGCCCACTGCTGACGGATATATGAACTACATCAGATATTCTGAGGCGTACCTCAAGGGGCCTTTAACCCATACATTTGAACTGTGCCACAGACTGACCTTAGCTCCGTACCATGATGTTTTGTTACTTATTACCAAAAAGCCATTCTTGGCACCATTTTTCTTCCTTTCACAGTTTGGGTTGTCATAGTACTACAACAGGCCACATCATTTGTAACTGCAGATGTCTTTGTCACTGCTGAATACATCAGTAAATATAACGTAAACACATTTTGTCTCCCAGCTTTCAGGTCTATGAGAAGCGACAATGAGTTTCCAGATAAATACCTGAAGTTAAACTTGGAGACAGTTAATCATTCTCCTCTACCAAACAAGCACGGGCAGGACGTGGCCAGAGAGGCGCTGTGAGTCACGGTGCACACAGACACGTGCACGTGCATGCACTACATCTCCACTGCGGCTGTATTCAGTAGATACATTTGAAAGAAATAAACAAACAGCTCGTGTGAATGCCAACGCCACACTTTAACCCACGGTCCTGCGGCTGAACCCCGTCCAAGTGACGGTGTCTGGGGAGAGACGCGGCTCCTGTGTCAAGTGTTCAGCAAACATGAGCCTGTTCTGAACTTATCACATCAACAGTGTGTAATAGCAGCCGCCTGGCCCCTCCCTGACCCTGCCACCGGCCGGCCTCTTTAATATGACTCAAAAATATGACCCATTCTTTATGTACAACAGCTCGGGGTTGGGGGTGAGGGTGTGGGGGGGGCTTTGTTTGGACAGTCACTACACTCTGGAGTGTTATTTGCTCTTGCAGGTAGAGTCGCCGCGGCGGCTCCTGCATCCTATCTGGGCCCGGGCTGACTTACGTCTGAGCCAATAACGTCGGGCCGTTGTGCAAACTCAGCTGTGTTAGCTGAATTCCACCTCAGGGTCAATGTCAGAGCACCTCATGTCTGAAATGCGCCACCAGCAGGCTGCCTCCAAACATGATTTATTAATGGATTTTTGTTTGGCTTAAACACAGTCAGGGGTGAAGGTGTGAATTCTTGCTGTCTTGTCTTTTTTTTTTTTTTGTCAGTTTGTCGGAGCTTCTTCATGTTTTTTTTTATGCTGATTTCATCTTTAAATTTTGGTTTCTTTTTTTAATGTTGTTCCTTTGTTTTGTCCCTACTGCAGTGAAGAAAAAAAAATCAATATCTAGAATGCTGCCATATCCATACGCACATGTACTACAGACACACACACACACACACTTCGACAAAGACTGAGTGACATTTGGATCAAACCAAACCTAACAAGGAAAACACAACATGTGAGATGGCTATTGATTCAGAGTTCAGCGTCTGATAGATTCAGCTTTCCTCCGCCTGCGGATCGATTGTGATAGTAGAGGTTTTTGATGGGGTTGGACCTCCGTGTTTGTCTTGCTGTCTCCCAGGGTCTCGCTGAGCTCTGCGGCTCTCCTAACACACCGCCGCAGCAGTATTTGGTGGATTTGTACAGAGACGCAGCGAGGGATAAAGGGACGGATTTCTCCTAGAAACTGAAAAGGCATCGTAGCTAAGACGTTGGCTTTGAGCGTGAAATGTTAGCGTGTAGCGTCGGTTCGTTGGTGAAGCCGACACGTGTTATTTTGTGGTTAGAACGTTAAGGGTTTCATTACAAAATAGGCCTTTTGTGACCACAGAGGTACAGACTTTTAGTCATGTTCAGGCCACTGAAATGGGTCTGTAGTTTGGAAAAGAAAATAAAGTTTACACCACAAAGGTCTCAAACCTTCACCATCCAAATTTGATCAGATTTGCAGCAATATTAATTTTTCATATAAATAGAATTACAATAATGAAGTTTGAATCCTTAAAAACCTAACTTCCTGTTGCATTAGTTCCATTGGATTTTTTGCCTTTGTTCCTGTTCGTTGATAACAGAAATCAAAAGACATTTTATTTTATCATTTTAAATGAAAGAAGGAAATGTTAAGTTTGAAGATTTTCTTCCTAAATATCTAACAATTTTTCTGACTAAAATGTACTCACACTTTGCTGCCGTGCCGTGATAAACTGATCAAAACTGACCAAAACAGGAAATCAAATTACAAAAATATAACTCAGTGCCCCTTACTTTGAGAACCTGTGCTTTAAGTTAATGTGTGGATTGATGGATTTTGAATATAGATATTTTAATATTACAAGACTCCAACAAGCTGACTTCCTGTTGGTTTTTTTCATCTGCTGTGACCTGATCTGCCTTCACAAGAAATAAAACCAGGACAAATGGTTGCTGAACGAGTTTCCCGTTGTGTCTGATTTATAAGGCTGTTTTTCTTGGGTTCCCCCTTCTATAAAAACTGGATCTCCCAGAAGTGAGACTCCAGTGTATAATTTCAAATCTTCTAAATGCATGCATGACTCATCCATTTTATCCGGGCTGAAGACAGACTCACGTGAGGACATAGTTGACGCTGACGATGCAGTGAGGTCTGGAGGAGCGGCTGTTGTGGACGATGGTGGCGTAACTCTGCACCCAGACCCAGCCCCCGTGTTTGGCCAGGAAACGATAGTACTTGGTGGTGACTTGGCCTTTTACCAGCACTGGAGGAGGTAAAAAAAGATGAGGTTAGAGTATTGAGCAACAGGTGTGTTTGGTTGGTCTGTGATTGTCTGTATGTGCAGCGGCAGCAGCAGCAGCAGCAGCTTGTCTTCCTACATAGTTACAGTCTGAATAAAGTAGAATACAGAGAGGTTTGGTTCTCACAGAGGTGGTGAGCACAGCGGAGGTGGAAGATGTCGCAGCTGTGGACGTGATGGTACAGAGTTTTCTCGATCAGGTCCTGGGGCTCGTACCCTGTCAGCTCCGCTACCCTGGAGAGGAATTAAGAAGCAATATTACGGTTCCTGCAATAATTCACATTTATTCCACAGAGAAGAGCTTAGTGTGTTTAGCAGGCAGTGGCCTTTGTCTGGTTTCAATCATTTTGGTGCAGCTAAAGGATTAAATGATGTGGGAATAAAAAGGGAACATTAAATCAAAACAGCTAAATTTAGTGTCATGTGTTCAGACCTGTGCGCGCGTGTGTGTGTGTGTGTGTGTGTGTACCTGGAGTCCAGGAAGATGAGCTTCATGTCCAGACTGGCTCTGAACATGAACATGTTGCTGTGCAGCTTGATCTCTGTCACAGCGCTGGGGGGCAGAGAGTGGCCCACGGCCACCAGACCCACGTTCTGGTAACAGCCCTCAAACGGTGACATGTCCAAACTGTACTGACGGATCTTCAGGTACCCACTGCAGTGGATCACCTGGGGGCAGGCGGGGCAGAGCAGAGCTTTTTAGGACCCAGACGAGACGCAACCCCATGTTTGACACACTTCAAAACAATATTTCAAATACAGAATAATTCGCAACCCCATGTTTGACACACTTCAAAAGAATATTTCAAATACAGAATAATTCCTTTTCATTATATTTTTGCTACATTTGTGAAAACAAATCCACAATTGTTTCAACATGTGGTCTGTGAATTTGAATGTATCAGACAGGTTCATGTGTTGTTGTTTTTTTGTAGATGGTAAACATAAAAACACAGACACATGAATTAGTTTTATTATTTGAATAGTTCAGTAATTAACAGAAAAATAACACGCCAAATTTAGTCTTAAAAATCACGGTATATACAGATCACCCTCCCTGTTCCATCTCCAGATCAGTTTTGAGGTCTAGCCCCCCGGGGTGTTGTGAATTTTTTGGTCATTCAGACTTTAATTAAAAATGTTTAGCAGTTCTTATTTATGAATATATTTATTTTAAATTTTAATATTGAATATATTGAAAATCCCAAGGATTTTCCATATAAAAAGAATGTATGAACTGGCCTTAAAAGTGAATAAAATAATGTATATACTTTACCTTGTACCCACCACTGGTGAGGCCTGCGTTCCTTTTGGCCAGAACACATTTCATGCGTAAAAAAAAGGAACGCTCCATTTCATATTCTGGAAAAGAAACGAACTTTACGTAAGTGACGGGTACAACAAATCAGGAAACAATAAAATAAAAACAACGCGACGTCTCGTATATGAAGTTAAACACCGCCGTGACCGAATATTAAATTATTATTTTTTATTAATTAATACAGAAAATGCAAAATACTTTCGTTTTTAACGTGCAAAATCGTAGTAAAACAATAACAAACAATAACTGAATGAACGTGCACTTGTAAGGATCTGTGTTTTTTTATTTATTTATTTATTATTTTACCTTGAACGAAGTGATAAGGCTGGTGTGGAGTGAGAACAGCCGTCACCTCGTCATGATCAGCCGGATGAACGTACTCATAAATACTGTTTCCGGTCAACTCTACCTGTAAATGTACAAGTTCCGCATTCATTTATACAAAATAAGTAAAACAAAAAAAAAAAAAAACGGCGACAAAAAATATTAAAGACGAACCTGAGACAGTCCTAAATGGACCGAGGCTGTTTCTGAGATGTACATGATCTTCCCGTCAGGAGCCACGACGAAGATGAACCCGTCCAACGTCTGGGAAATGGATCACAGAGACAAGAGTTCGATTAGCTCGGATGACAATTCGTCCCGGTCCTGGATTAGATGTAGATTACACACAAACACGGAAGTACCTGCAGTAAGTGAGACCCGAGCTCTCGACCAATGTTGTCCAAAGACCTGGTTCGACTGGCGTGGCCCCAGGCCTCACCCAGACCTGACGGATGGAACCAAACCATATATTTGTTATTTAGTTTAATTTGATTTATTTAATATACTCTGACGACAAAACATTGAGTATGGATTATAAAATATATTTTAAATTTAAATCGTTGTTCTGTACGTACAATAAAACGAAAAACAAAAACTGCGAGTTTTAAAAACAATGTTTTCTTTATAAAATGTCTTGGCAGCGACCCCTAAAGGTCAGGAGTTAAAAGCAGAGGTTACAGTTGCGCTAAATATTTTTAAATATCAAAATATCAAATATTTTTCTTCTCGTGTTTTTTTTAATATTCTAGATCAGAAATATTTAATATTTTCAGACCAATGACCTCAAACTGATGGAGACTTTCTTCTATGTATATATATTTTTTTTTATTTATAGAGCGCATTTCATTTATATAATCATTTAATATAATGTATTTGTCTTTAACATTTTATTCATAGCATCAAACAAGGTGATGTATCATAAAGTTCCAGTGCCACAGTCACAGGTACAATCAGTTCTACACGTGATCCGTGTCCTGAACTCTACATTATTTTTAGCTGTACCTCAGAGCAAAGAGGTAAAGGCCTGATAACCATGAGAGGATGATCTGGTATAACAATACTACAAATAACAACAACAAGTGTTATATTTTTTCTTGAATACTTCAAATTCTGAAAAGAAAGGTCGATTTATATATACATATTTATATATACATATATACATATATATATACATATACGTTGGGCTCATATATATTTAAAATGGTTGTAATTTAACCACATTAGCTAATAGGTTTATACAGTATATTGTATACATACATACATATATATATATTGTTTGTTTGTTCTGTTCATGCCTCAGGCTGCAGCCTGACCCGACTGACAGTATATGTCTGACTATAAAGATGTAGGATTATGGCGTGATTTTGGGAAAAGCATTGTGGCTCTGTAACGTCGTGCTGTGTGTGTGTGTGTGTGTGTGTGTGTGTGTGTCTCCTGCTTACATGGCTTTAGGTGATTAGAAGCCTTGCAGGGCCTTTTTGTAAATAATTGCTACATCTTGTTCTGAGTCACGCAGACAGTGAAACCTGCAGCCCCCCTCCTCCTTCTGGAGACGCTGAATTTATAAAACACCTTTCGCACTCACGTACTTTAGTTCCATGGGTGAGCTTTTTCTCCTGTAATACGGTATTCGTATGACGTCGGCTCCTCTCCAGGACTGGAGCAATAGTATGAAGTATTTATTTGTATTTTTCTGTTTTCTTCTAAAATATTTTAAAAAACGGGATTGCCAATGGACCGGGGTTTTTTTCTATAATTCTCGGATTAAAGTCACAAAATAAAAGATAAATTTATAGCATTCATAAAATAATAATCTTTTTATTTCTATTAGGTATCACCATCTTTTTATGTTCAAGTCACTAAAAACATCCTTGAATTTGATTAAGGTGAGAGTCGTTGAACGTGTACGGATTAAAGTTACATTTAATCTCGTCATAATTTTAGGAAAAAGGTCAAAATTGTAGGATTAGGAACAGAACTAAATCCGCAGTCTAAAATTAAGGTCATAATTTCGATTTTTTAGATCAACGTTAACATCATAGTTGTGATTTTAATCCAAGTATTTTGGGATTGAGATTGAGATTGAAAAATATAGAATCACTTTGTAAATTAATGTCAGCTGTGTCATTATTATTGGCACCAAGAAAACTCTGATGTTGAGATCCAAATTCCAATTTTTTTCTCCATGAATCACGTTTCCATTCAGGGGTCACACTTTCTTCCTATTAGAGCCGTTATTTTTAGTATCAGAACTTGATGTTTATCTAAACATGATTGTTATTTGTTCCCACTATAATAAATAATAAAAGGCCTCGACTTTAATTTCAAGAGGTTTTTCTTTTTAAATAAACAGCAGTTGATCAACTACACACTGTAGACAAAGCTTATTACTATTATAAAACGAACGAAAACGTATTTTTTTACGTGTTAGATTTATAATTGTATTTTTACAATTATAAAAATTATGATTAGAAAGTATATATGTGTATATATGTATAATGAAATCTTTTTTTTTTTTTAAACTATGTGTATATATGTATAATGAAATCTTAAAAAAAATACCGGAAAATTAATGCTAAAAGTAAACAATCCTGCACATATGGCGTGTGTGTGTTTTTGTGTGTGTTTGTGTTGAAACGTGGCGTGGGTCCACACACACACTCACCCTGCGGGAACACGATCCTCATCTTGAGGTAACTGGTCGTCAGCCTGATGATGGAGGCCTTGTCCAGCTGGGAGGTGATGGCCGACGGCAGAGGCAACATCTTGGCCAGTTCGTAAAACTCGCTGTTCTCCTTTTCCCGTCTAGTCCTTGCTGCAGTTTTAGATTTCTCCTTCATTTTCTCCATGATGGAGGATGCTGACGCTGCTGCTGCTGCTGCTGCTTTTTCTGCTGCTGCTGCTGACGCTCGTTGATGGCGCTGCGTTCACGTCCTCACTTCAGATCTTGATTCCTCCGTGTCGTCTCTCCTCTTCTGCATGTTTTCTAAACCCGGATTAAAGCGTCACTTGTAGCATGTGTGTGTTTATAATCTGTACAGGTTGAATCCAAAGTGTGTGGATCAATAATCCCGGCGGTGGCGGATGTGTTAATTTATATCCTGATGTTGGTCAGTGGTTCTTCAGCTGTTTGGACTCAAACATCCTCGGTTTTTCAGCCATGACGTGAGACCCTGAGGACAGTAGGAGAAAAGATATGTATCACCGGGATTACCGTTGGATTATAATCTAGAATGCTGCAGATTAGTACTATAATTTTAATTCTAAATGATGTTGTTTTTTCTTTTCCTGATCCAGGCCTCAGTCATTTAAAAAAAAAATCCTGATAACGCAAAACACAAAATGAAACAATGAAAAATACAAACAGGCTTAAAAACAAATCAATCAGTTACATGAGTTCATACTAAAGTTAAAACGTTGCCGTAGTATTATTTTATTTTATTAAATAAACAAAATGGTGTTTTTTATTTCACCTTTAAAAAAAAATCAATCAGTGTTTAAACTTTGAACCAAACTCAAAGTTACGTTTTTGTCGGAATTTGATTTTACTGCTAAATGACAGTTATCAGTGACATGAAAACTAATATATGACAACTATATGAATTATGTTTAACTATATTAACTATATTTTTTAAATTTTGATTCACAATTACATGTTAAAAAATAGAGAAATTATATATATATATATTTATTTAAATTATACACTTTTAAATAAAAGTCAAATTTTTCTTTTACTCTAAATGACAGATTTCACAGTAAAGAGTGACGTTGACTATGAATCAACATGTATGTATATATATATACATACATGTTGAAGATGTAAACATATTTTTATTCAAAGGTAAAATCACAACTAAAATCCAATTCAATTCAATATTTTTATTCAAAGGTAAAATCACAACTACAATTCAATTCTTGACCTTAAAATTAAAAAGTAAAATAAAAATATAACTATAGTAATAATGGTGTATTTTAGAATCTTTGTATGATTTTGTATCTTTGATTCTATTGGATGGATGGAGTTCATACGTTTATTCGACTCTATTTGAATTATAAGTGTTATTATTTTGAATTATCTTTTCTAAAACACGTATCATTTCTAACGATGACATTTTAAAATATTACTTTTCCTCAAACGTTCGTTTCCATTTGTGTAAAAACAGAAGAAAAAAATAATAAATCATGTAAACACTCAGCAACAGTCTCTCTCTCTCTCTCTCTCTGTCTCTCTCACTCTCTCTTACACACACACACACACACATAAACACACACTCACAGAAACAAATCTCCACACAACACATAAACACACACACACACACACACCGTCTTTTTTCCCTGAAGTGTGGATCGATGCCGTGGCCTCAGGTTCTCGGCAGCCTGCTGGGAATTTCACCTGTCCTGACGCGGGTTCACCAGTCCTCCCAGTGTCTCAAGTTTTTGGTCACAGCTCCTCCTGGATTCGCACCTGGAGAAACCGAACGCGGCCCCGGGGCCGTGCGCTGCATACACCTCCCCAAATTAGAAGGACGCGCGCAACGAGTGGCATTCGTGCCCAACAAGGCTCTTCTTCTTCTTCTCAACTGTCTCAACGTCCCTCTCAGGAGCAGAGCTGGACACGCCCTCTGTGCGAGTCCAGCTGCGCTGTGATTGGACGGAGGCCCGTGCTCCCGTGTCCTGATTGGGTAGCCAGCAGGCGGCGTCACTCCGGATAGTCACGGCACTTGGATGTGTTCCTGTGTTTTCTGTCATTAGCTCGGAGATCACAAATCACAGTTAGATTTGAAATCTGCATAAAATAGCAGGTGAATCAGGCCGCGCTGAGTCTGGAGCATCTTTTTTTAGACAAAAATAATTCTGAAAAAAAAAAACACATTTGTTGCATTATTTCAATGATGTAAAATCCTCAGCGCTTTTCTTTTCTGCTGGTCCACAATGTTAGAAAAGCACACATTAATGTACGGAGGGCTTTAAAAAATCCCTCCAAATACAACCGTCATTTTCTGAACTATAGCACAAACCATTTTTTCTTTAGCCCAGTGATGCTATAACCTCTTGTAAACAGAGGTTTATTTCTGGGTTGCGTTTTTTAAAGACGAGCGTTTAGTTTAGTTTGAGGGAAACAACTGAAGCTCACGAGGCACGTTTGAAGAACTGGAAAAAGAAAAAGAAAATCTCAGAAAGACAACTAGTAAAGATCCTTAAAACATTTCAAAGAACTTAATCAATTAATTCGGTCTGAAATTTTATTTTAAAAAAACATTCTAAGAGACACTGCCATGGACCACAGACGGCTCTGGGGAGTGTGTCTAAAATTAGAATCACGTCGTATTTTATTTACATTTTATGTAAAGGTAAACTATACCGAATTGATCCGAAAAATCAATTAACCAATAACAGCGTGTGATTTGTCTCTTATTGTGAATGTATTGCCTACAGCTCGAGGTAAAACTTGAAAAGTAATCGATTTTACAGGCAAATTTCGAATAAACAAAGAAACCCTGTTGGTCCTTTACATATTCCAGCCTCCTACACATCCAAATAATAACTATAAAGGAGTGTGATCTTTATTGTGATCAACAGATGCGGAATTGACCGAGTTCATTCTGTTTTTCTTCAACTTGACTAACGTCCTCCCGATCTTTATTTCTTTTTTTTTTGTGTGTGTGTGTGTGTCGCAAAATCCCAACGTACAGCATTTTACAGCATCCGGCGGAGAAGGCAGCCATGGATACGAGCGTCCAGTGTTCCTGGCTGTGGGTTTTTTTTTTCTTTTTTCTTTTCTGTGTCTACATCCGTCCAACGCGTTTGTGTAAGGATTAATTTCCAGGGTATGAATGAAATGGAAGCGCCTCGGCGCATGTAGTTTTTTAATTAGGCAACAGGCGCTCAGGTGGAGGAGGAGCAGAGAGGAGCGGAGGAGCGGGCGCGGCGACGGGGGCGCGGACGCACGGCCACGAGCGCACTGCGCTCATAATTACCGCTTAAATTGATGCTGCATCCTGCGGTAATTGGAGATTCTCCTGCTGCCTGGGAACAGTGTGTTTGTGTTTGTGTGTATGTGTGTGTGTGTGTGGGGGGGGGTCATAGCCATACATTTGGAGACATTTGTCTTTGGGAAAGTACTGTTGAGGGGACACTGTCCTGTTAGGGGATTTTAAAGGAGTCATTTTCAAGATTTATTTTTGTAGGATTGAGATTCAGACGTGAGTGAGGATGGTGTTCTATGGGTTCATGTGTCTCTCTCTCTCTCTTGTTTTGTCTAAATATAGAAGTCACTTTGATCAAAAGGTTCTAGTTTGTCTCATTCTTTTCGGTTTGTGTCTCCTTTTCCCAGGTTGATTTTTTTTAAAAAACGATTATATTATTATGTTGCATTCTTCTGCTTCTGTAACATATTATTGTCTTTTTATCTGCGCACCTGACAAACCCAGTGGCCGCAGATCAGAACTGCAGCTCCTTCCTCTCAACAGTGCAGACTCACTGCTCCTTGTGGGAGATTGTGAAATTCTCTGAACACAGTTCCAACAAGCAGGTAGAAGATTTACCCTGCTGGACCTCCTGTTAGGCACAGGCTGTCACAACTGGGTTGAAGTTGACCCTTCCACCCTCGGTGTGTCACCACAGCTGCTGCAGCCTCAAACATCCTTACAGCTCCATGTTGTTATATTTGTGATTAATTATATTTCTTTCTCTGCGTGAAGCAGCAAACGTTTGTGAAAAATGATTTTTTTTTTTTTAAATAGCCTATGGTGACAAACGTTTGTGAAAAATGATTTTTTTTAAATAAACGTTTGTGAAAAATGATTTTTTTTTAAAAAAAAGCCTATGGTGGAAGTGTTTGATTTGTAAATGTATATGTGATCCCTCTATAGTCTGGCTGTTATAGCACTGAGCTCCTGTAGTACAAAGGTGTACACTGTGATCTATGTTAGAGTCATAGCATTGCATCATTAGCAAAATAAAATGAATTAGGAGTGGCTAATAAACTGCTCGTTCGAGATGACCCCGGCCTTCAGTTCTTCTTCTTTAGAGCACTGTCACTGATGTTCACCTCATGTAAAATGTAAATTGTAAACCGTAGATAATTCTTAGGCGCATTGCTGCCACCTATGGGCCGGTGTGTGTGTCATTGTATGTTTTGAAGTCAGCCTTAAATGATCATAGATTTGTTTCCTCACATCTTCCTGCTTTTCATTTTCTCTACTCTCTGACAGTGTACTACTAGTATACAGTCAAACAAAAAAATGTCCTCTGTGTTTTTGGGAGTGAGATGTGGTGGAAGAGATGTGGTGTTTGTAAATTGACAGTAAATTCAGATTGGTATGGTAACCAGAGGGGACAGAAGAAGAAGAAGAAGAAGAGAGGAGGAGACAGAATAAGCTGAGAGTCACATTTTTTAAAAATGTGTTAGTGAAAGATTTAGCAGGACGAGTGAGAAGCGATGAGAGTGAGGCACCATGTGGCGCTCACTCTGTGCTCTGAGATTGAAACAGTCGGGCATATGTAAACAGGCTGCATGTTTGACCAAGATTTTCCCAGTTGTGTTTTCTGTTGGCCATTACTGGCTCTTTGTGTTTTCCCTAAAAGACTGAATGTTTTTAGTGCGTCCTGCCTTCTTTACCTGTTGTTTTTTTCCACCAGCCTTTTTTTGACAGATTCAAGGATCGTCGGTTGGAAAATTTTACACCATTTTCTGGTTTTCCCCATTAACGTGCACTCGTTTTTTCCTTTTCAATTTCGTCTCCCCCGTCTCTCTTTCTGCCAGACCCTTCACTGAGCCCATCTGCTGTGTGCGAGTGTTAATTAAGCACGCCGCCGTTTCCTCTGTGCGTGCAGCGTTTAAAGGTGCTGGGAGTACACCAGTCGGCCCGGCATGTTCATCAAAATGCTAATTCAGCCCAAATTAAAGTTGTGATTAACATTACACAGTTTCCTGTGCGAACAAATTGATCGTTGCTTGAGCTTTTTCACTCCCGCACTCACTCTCTCTAGGTGATGAGTGTCTGGGGAAAAAAGGGAGAGCATATGAAAAGTGGTGTTCTGGCCAT